CTTTAAGAGGCTTCCAATATAGGATGCCCAACAAAATATATTATATAAAAAATTTAAGGGTCCATTTGGTTCGCAGGAAAAGGGGTCTGGAATCGACACTGGAATGGTCCATTCCGATTCCAACCGTATGGTTATCGTAACTCAATTATCATTCCTGGTGGAATGGCATTCCCCCATTTCAGGGAATGACCAGTCCCGACCCCTCACTTGGGAATGAGAATCCATTCCAGCCTATTCTGATTCCGCTTCCGATTCCAAATGCAGTCTGAACTAAACAGGTGGGGGGATAGACCACTCTAATTCCAAGGGATTTCAATTCCAACTCCGTTTCTAACTGCAAACCAAACAGACCCTAAATGTTTTTTGAAATACCACTTGCCCACCCTAGGAGGGCGGCCTGGATTGAAGGAAAACTGCATGACAAAATTTTGAATACCAGGATATCTGATCCCAAAAGTTCCCAGAATTCTAGATAGGGAAAGTCAATGCGAAGTTACTGCAAAATTCCTCCCAATAAAGTAAGCATTTTTATCAATATTTGAATTCTTGGAAATATCGTAGAGATGATAAAGCAGTCTATAAACCCCAGAGTTCAGCCTGTCACCTCATCCAGGAGGATGATATCAAAGGAAGGTGGTGAGATGGTGTGGAGGAATAAATTGAAGAACTCATTATGAAAAAACAATATATGTCAATTGAAAGAGGAAACACTAAGAATTCTTTATTGTTTCCCTATTTAGTTAGTTAAAGAACACCAACCTAGCAGTAGCCCGTCGGACAGTTAAAGTTTTGTCACCCATTTTTAGACCATTAAGTGCAGCACAAGCAACATCTGTCACCGCAGGATCCTGAAATACATGCACATATGTGACATATCAACAGTCGTCCAAAAGTAAAGATGTAAACTAGCAAGCATAGTTTTCAAGATGCCAAGGCAAGGCTAGGCAGGCAAGGGGGGGGGGTCCTTGTTGCCTACTCTAGGCAATGGATTTTTTTCAAGTAAAAAATCATATATCTTAGGGTAATTCCCTAGGTTCCATAAAAACTGGTGACCATATTTCCTTAATAATTATCTATAATTTCCAAAAGAAAAGTATGAACTTCATGTTAAGTATGGAAAATCAACATATCTTTTTTTTTATCAATAACAGAGATTTCATTAATTAGTTAAAGATTGAAAATACATAGAAAGGGAGCTAAAATAGCTTAACTCCCCAAAACTGTCACTAGACACCCAAAATACACAGTTACAGTTGAGCCCAAAAAACAAAGCTCCTATTCACCCCTTGTCTAGCTAAGCCATATGCAAAAGAATTTACACTTCTCTTATGAAAATCAACATATTCATTAGAAGAAAAAGAAGAAATAACAGAAAACTCAGAAAATATAGGTGTCACCTCTATTTTTTATAGGAAAAGAAGAAAAGGTGGAAGAAGAAGAAAATGTGTTAATTAGACAAAATTTTAAGTTCTTCCTTATTGGTTTTCAAGACAGCATGTAGCATTTGTGTTTATCAAGCCCTAACAAATAAAAAGATAATAAAAAAGAAACTAGAATATAAACACATAAATGAGTGTTTTAGTTTAATAATATGTCTGTTCTATAATTATAATCTAAAAAACTTAAGAATATAAAAGTATTTCATAACACCATGTACAAATCTGATTAGCGATTAGGTGAGGCAACCCTCCAAGAGCGCATAGGCTTCACCTTGACAACTATGGTAGCAAGTTGAGCATGAGGCAAGAAAAAGAATGAAGAATTATTTCCCAATTGAGTAATCAGAACTCTCATTGGTTGGTTTATTACAAACAATTGTTGGATCAAGTAAAATAGACTGGTTAAAATCTATGGAATATGACCCCTTTTACAATCTGCTGGTGCTTATGGATAGAGAACGACCAAACCTTAGAAGGTAGTTCTCAGCCCAGTATGAAGCTGTGTGGAAATTTTGAAGGAGTTCTTTTCAAATAGGCCTCTATTAACAGTCAGTTTTGAAAGTTTTGAGGGATCTGAAATTCAACCACTTTGCTAATTATTGGGACTGTATTTTGTGGGATGATAGCTTTACTTTATAATGCCTTTGATATTTCTTTTGACTCATTGTACTAGGCTGTTGAGGAAACCTCTCCCTCCAGTCTTATTTGCTTCTTTATAATCTTCAATGCAATACAAGTCAAGCATTTGAGATTCTGATACTTGATTTCACATACCTGATACACACAGAATCCATAACCTTTTGAGTTTCCTGTGTCCCTATCCTTAACAAGATCAAATCCACGCAAAGGTCTGCAATATAGGTCAAAATCATACCAATAAAGGCAGCAAGAGCATGTAATTTTTTGGAGAAAGGCTATACAAGTAAGAAAAAAATTGTGGTTCGCCTACAGATGCTTGTGAGATCTTATCAGAGCCAAAGAAAAAAGAACAAGGTACAACCACTAACAACTTAGCAAGGAAGCCTAGTGGGATAAATAATAACTTAAATACAGAATCACCAGAAATTTGGCTCAGTCTCATACCCAAAGGACTCTAACAGTTCTCTTATCTGTGCTTCTGTAAAATAATATGGTAACCCACCAACAAATATACGATCCGGTCCTTCTGCTCCACCAATTGCACTGTCAACAGTACATGAATCAGCAAGCTAAAAATGCTAGTGGGTAACTGTAAGAGTAATATATACAATACGCAATGACAATAATCTTACAAGGAAAAAACTCAATTAAATGCCTACATTCCAATCCAGTAGGAAGTTAGGAACATGGGACCTCAAGAAAGCAGATTATATAATCATTCCTACAAACTCTAAAGACACCCAATTTTTTTTACCAAGTTTCAAGTAGGGGGGATCTTCAGAAATGGTGATGGAAATATTGTAGCTTTGTTCTGGGCCCCATAGAGTTGGAGACTCATTTAAGAAAGAAATGTGGGCAATTCTACATGGGGTAAGACAGGCCAAAACAATGAATCTTAGAAGCCTGGCTGTCAAAGAGGATTCTAAAGTAGTAATTGGTTGGATAAGGGGAAACCAAGGGCCTCCTTGAAAGTACAAATATGCTATAAGACAGATAAAAAAACAATATATGCAACCCAGCAAATATTTCATGGATTCCAAGATCTGCTAATGGGTTGGCTGATGGATTAGAAAAACAAGGGGCCACAAGGGATAGTTTGTATTGGGGGTCAAAGTGATGTAATTGTAACACTACTTTGGTGTTTTCCTGTCTTTGTATTTTGGTTGTTAGCTGAGGTTAACAACCCCAACAGGTGTACTGCTACTTTAAAACATTTTAATAAAATTCTGTTAGTAATCCATAAAGAAATTCAAGTTGACTACAGCCCTTAAAATAAAGGCTTTTGGAATTAGAGAAACTAAAATTACTCAGAAAAGCAGATTCAAGTAAAAAATGACTTTCATCAATAGTTCACAAATTATTGATATTATCAACTTACCCAGGTGTAAGACCAACTGCAGCTAAGTTAAGATAAGGGCTTGGTTGGCTAGACCCAAGAGCTGCAGCCAATGAAGGGTTGTAGTCAGTAGGCCTTCGAACCCTCACAGAGACACCCTATTAAGAGAAAAGCTCCAGTGAAATGCAAAACTATCATTGCTCCAAAGAAAAACTGACATCATTCAATGTGGTTAAAATTTACTTCATGGCAGTAACTACATGTTCCTTTGAAACTAAAACAAAATAAAAACCGGCAACAAGATCACCAAAACATGGTGCTCCCAGAAATCACTAACCATGTAAATTGGCTGGCATAATCAGCAGAAGGCATAAGTGCTTCTAAGTTTTGCACCAAAGAGTTCCAAATTCAAGACAAGATTGTAGGTAACTCCATTCAAGCTGAATCATTTTCACTCTTACAAGGGTTGAGATTAACTGTGTCATTGGAACGTGGAAGATTGGAAATGGAAGGAGATTCACAAGTTGTAAAAGGATAGTTAAAAGGTGAGTAATGAATTCCTTGGATTAACAACATCATACAAGGTTTTACCCAAAATAAAAACCTACATCACATAAGGGAACCTAGGTTTTCATCTACAGATTGACCACCACATTCATGTGGATCCCAGGTCAGCTAACTTCTTGTTGATTCCCTAGCTAGAGGAGAAGAACATAGAGTTGTCATGTACTGGGGTCCCGACCTGGGGGCAGGCAGTGTAGAGTAATAAGAAAAAAGAGCAGAGAGTAGAGTAATAAGAACTGTTATGTCCACTATATTGTGTTAGAGATGGTGCAGTCAAGTTGAAGGAGTGGAATAAAGATCACTTTGGTAGGGTAGAGGAATAAAAGCTGAACCTATTCACACAAATTGAAAAGCTGAAGCCCAAGGGTAGTTGTGTGCAGGATAGAGAATCAAGAAGGCAATTGAAAAAGGATCTAGAAGAGGTTTTACTCAGAAGAGATTTGTTGGAGGCAGAAGTCAAGGAACAAGTGGATTAAGGAGGGGGATGGGAATACTAGATTCTTTCATGATTTGGCAAATGGTAGGAGGAAGAACTTAGTGGCTAGATTAGAGTTAGAAGGGCAGGTAATTACCAATCAAGAGGAAATAGCTAGGACCTTTGTAAAGCAAGGTGGTTAGAAAGGAATATTGAAGAAGAGGAGATTAGAAGGGCAGTGTTAATGATGGATAGATCTAAGGCGCCAGGTCCGGATGGTATTACTATGGCTTTCTACCAAGATTGTTGGAACATTTTGAAAGAGGATTTATGTGCTGCTGTTAAGGAATTTGCTGAGAATCATATATCAAGTCCGGGAGTCAATGCCACTTTTTTGGCCTTAGTCCTTAAGAAACCAGATGCTATCCAACCTAAGGATTTCGGGCCAATTAGTTTGGTAACTAGCATTTACAAAATCTTGGCTAAGGTGTTGTCTTTGAGGCTTAAAGTAGTTCTCCCATCCCTAATAAGCTAAGCCCAAGGAGCCTTTGTACAAGGGAGACAAATAGTAAATCATATCCTAATTGCCAGTGAGTGTAGAGGATATGAGAAGATCTAAAAGAAAAGGCTTTGTTTGAAAGTTGGATCTAGAAAAGGCCTATGATTTGGTGGACCGGCACTTCTTGGTACAAGTATTGAGAAATTGTGGCTTCAGGAATAAGTGGTGCAGTTGGATTTTTGGATGTGTTAGTTCTTTCCATTACTCTGTCCTAGTTAATGGAGTGGCGAAGGACTTCTTCCCAACTTGTAGAGGTATCATGCAAGGGGACCCTCTATCACCTTTCCTCTTCACTCTAATAGCAAAGGTGCTTAGTAGAATGATCTCAAAGGCTGACAGAGAAGATGTGATTAAAGGGTGGAGAATTCCGGTCACCCATCTCCAATTCGTAGATGATATTCTGATTTTCTGTGATGGGGATGATACTGAGAAAGTGAGAAATCTCAAGGATCTAGTTAGAGGCTTTGAGAGATTGTCAAATTTGAATATCAAGTTTGGAAAGAGTTGTGTAGTTGGTTTTAACTTGGAGGACAATGAGGTGGAGGCTATAGCAAGAAGCTTAGGGTGTTCTATCTCGTCCTGGCCTATGACCTACTTGGGGCTTCCGTTAGGGGCAAACCCTAGGGAGAGTAGCTTTTGGTGTCTAGTGGTAGAGAGGTTCCAAAAGAAGTTAACCTCAAACTATATATCCTTGGGGGGGTAGTATCACGTTGATAAGAGCCACACTTGCTAACCTACCAACCTATTTCCTGTCTGTGTTTGGATACCACCTAGGAAAGCTAAGAAGCTAGAGAAGTTGATGAGAGATTTCCTCTGGGAGCCAGGAGAAAGTAGGAAGGATCACTTGATAAAATGGGAGGTGGTATGCCAAAATAAAGAGGAGGGGGGATTGGGGTTTAGGGAATTTGATTAAAAAAATAAAGCACTACTGGGGAAGTAGCTATTGGAGGTGGCCAGTGGAGAGAGAGAGAGAGAGACTTTGGCATGAGGTGGTGGGTAGTATTCATGCCAGAAAATGGGTGGGGCTGATGTTTTTGGGAAGTTGATACACAGGGCAAATTCTAGGGATCTTATCAGAGGATGGAGGGTTGGAAGGGAGGAAACACCCCTCACCTAGTTACAGTTTGTTGATGACACTCCTATTTTGTGAAGGAGGTAATGTAGGTTTTATCAAGTACATGAAGTTGGTGATACAACTTTTTGAGCAAATGTCAAATTTGAAGGTGAACTTTGGGAAAAGCTGTGTAGTGGGTGTGAATTTGGAAGAGGGAGAGATTAGGGAGTGTGCAGAAGTGCTTGGGTGTGAAGTTTCGGAATGGCCTTTAAATTACCTTGAGTTGCCTCTAGGTGATAACCCTAAGAGAGAGAGCTTTTGGAATCCAGTGGTGGAAAGATTTGAAAAGAGACTTGCATCCTGGAAAAAGAATTACCTCCCTTGGTAGAAGGATTACACTGATTAAGGCCACGCTAGCAAACTTACCCATCTACTTCATGTCAGTATCTAAAGTCCCAATAAATGTGTCTAGCAGGTTGGAGAGGATGATGAGAGACTTCCTTTGGGAGCCAGGAGAGGAGAAGAGGGATCACAGAGTTAGACGGGAGATGGTGACCAGGAGTAAAAGTTGTGGTGGGTTGGGGCTCGGGAACATTAGAAAAAGAAATATGGCTCTTTTGGGGAAGTGGCTGTGGGGATTTCCTTTGGAGCAGGAGAAGCTGTGGGCTAGGATAGTGGCAAGCATACATGGGCTGGAGCAAAATGGATGGGATGCTAGAATCAGAGCTAGGACCACAAGTTCCTCTCCTTGGAAAGCAATTCATGATTTGCTACCAATTTTCTCCCCTTACATCAGGTATGACTTGAATTCAGGTAATTCCATAAAATTTTGAGAACAGATTTGGGTGTGGTCTATACCTTTAAAAGATCAGTTTCCTTCTTTGTATGCTCTTTCGAACCTCAAGAATGAGCCAGTTTCTTCTTTCATCACCCCTTCCTCTTCCAATTCTGGGCCTGGGTGGAACTTGGGTCTGAGAAGGGCTGTGAGGGACTCAGACCAAGACAGTATCTCGAGCCTCCTTGATCTCCTTGATAATGTCTTCTTAGACCCCTCAAACATGGACTCTAGAATTTGGACCCTTACCCCAACTGGATCTTTTTCTTGTGCTTCCTTCTTTAAAGTTTTAAGTCAGTCCACTGATCCTGTTACCCCCCCTTTCCCAATTAAGGAGGTTTGGTGCAAACCAATTCCTCCCAGGGTTGGTAGTTTTTGTTGGGAAGCCTATTTGGAAAGAATTAATACTGGTGATTTGCTCCAAAAAAAAAGAGACCCAATACTTGCTTGTCTCCTCATTGGTGTGTTCTCTGCAAAGCGGAGGGGGAAACTGGTTTCCACTTACTGGTATCTTGCCAATATGCAAAGTCTGTTTGGGAGTGGGCCTTTTCTCTCTTTGGGTGAAGCTGGAATCCCCCATCAAACATGTTGAGTCTATTCTCCCCTTCTTTTTTCAAGTGGACAGTGAAAAGATGAAAGATTATGTGGAAGGGACTGAAGACTGCAGTATGTTGGTCACTATGGGAAGAAAGAAACTCCAGGATCTTCTCAGAAGTCGAGAGGGGGGTAGATGAACTGAGGGTCACAATTCATATTAGGGTCGTATAGTGGCTGAAATCCTTAGCGCTATTTACAGATTTCACAGTGGAAGATATGCTAAGGAAATGGGGAGAAATTGCAAACTGTTCACAGAGCAAATCAGCAATGAGTGTGCCTTGGACCCCCCACCTGCTGGATTCTTAAAACTGAACTTTGATGGTAGTAGTAGAAGGAACCCTGGACAGTCAGGGATTGGAGGTGTTTTCAAGGATGAGAATGGGGTCATTTCTGCATTATACTCGGGTCCAATTGGAGTGGGAGACTCCCTTAGAGCTAAGATTTATGCAGTTATGGAAGGGATACAAAAAGCTAAGGAGATGAGTATCAGAAAAATCATAATTGAAGGGGATTCAGAGGTGGTAATAGGGTGGCTGAATAAAGATAACAGTAGCCTATGAAATTACAGTAATGAGGAAAAGGTTTAAGTGGCTGGTGAGGGAGATGGAAGTGAAGATGAGGTGGGTTCAAAGATCGGCTAATTCCTTGGCTGATGGATTAGCTAAACAAGGGGTAGAAAGGGACTCAATGTTTTGGGCCATTTGTAAACTACTGTTTCCATTTCCTCTTCTTTTCTCAAGTTCTCTAGCTGTATGTGGAAGACAAGAGTGCTTGTCTTTTTCTTTGTAATCATCTTTATCCTGAATTAATGAAATTGCTAATGAATGCGTTATTGATCAAAAAAAAACAGAAAATGGGTGGGATGCTAGAGTATCACGGTGGGCAACCTTGGCAACACCATGGAAAGCTATTCATGGCATTCTTCTTCAGTTTCTCAGTTTTGTCAGGTATGATGTTTGCAATGGTAACTTTGTCCTATTTTGGGAGGATACTTGGGTTGGAGAGGCTCCATCGAAGGACCTTTTCCCTTCTTTGTTCTCTATTTCAAGGTATAAAAAGGAGTTTTAGCCAAAGTTTTTTTTCCATTATGAATAATCCATTAACACCAAATTGGGACTTTGGGTTTTGTAAAGGTTTAAGGGAAGAGGAAATGGTGTCCCTAACAAATCTGCTAAGCCTACTTGATACAGTGTGTTTGGACCCTTCTGAACCTGATAAACGGATTTGGACACCCAAGCCGAATGGATCCTTCTCATGCGCTTCTTTCTTTAAATCCATTACTCAGTCTACCCCCAACCAGCCTTTCCCTATTAAGGAAATCTAGTGTAGGCCTGTCCCCCTTAAGGTTATGGCTTTTTGCTGGGAAGTGCATTATGGGAAAATAAACACCTTAGACATTCTACAAAAAAGAAGACCTTTTCTCTGTCTCCGAGTCTCTCACCTTCTTGGTGTATTCTTTGCAGGTCACATGGTGAGGACTGTAACCATCTACTAATATCTTGTTCATTTACTGCAGATTTATGGGAGTGGCTCTTCTCATTGGTGCAGGTTGGTTAGGCCAGCAGATGCAAGTTTGATTTTTTATCTGCTTTCTTCCCTTGGGAAGAATGGAGGTGTGCAAGAGAAGTGCTGATCTGGTCCGTGTGGGAAGAATGGAATAACCAGAATTTTCCAAGAGAAGGAGAGAAGACTACAAGAGATGGACTGCATTCAAAATAGGGTGATCCTATGGCTAAAATCACTGGACCTATTCCATCAATTCTCATTTAATGATATTTGGAGGAATTGGTTAGCAGTGGCTAATTGTTCATCCATAAAGACTAAAGTGAGTATGGCTTGGGAACCCCCTCTGAAAGCTTCTTGAAGCTGAATTTCGATGGCAGTAGTCTTGGTAATCCAGGTCCGTCAGAGGTGGAAGGGGTACTGAGGAATGAGGCTGGGAATGTGGTTCTTATTTACTCAAGACCCATAAGAGTTGGAAACTCTACTAGGGCAGAACTTGCAGCCGCTATCCAGGGACTACAGCTAGCAGTGCAGATAGGCGTGGAACAGTTGATAATAGAAGGGGACTCCAAGGTGGTAGTGGGCTGGCTACAAAACCCAGACTCTATAGTGTGGTGTTTTAAGAATGAAATTAAAAAATTCAACTGCCTGACAAGGAGCTTGACAGTGAGAATACAATGAGTGGGGAGATCAGCAATCTCTATGGCTGATGGTCTTGCAAAGCAAGGGGTAAACAGGGAATGTTTGTATTGGGCTCAATTGTAGACTGAATCTGTTTTCTATCTTTTGTCTTTCTTCCTGCTGTTAGGAGAGGACGCAGCTCGTGCCTCTCCATGGGAAGCTTGTAACTGCATTAGTTTTCTATTAATGAAATTTATCTTATCTTATTTATCCAAAAAAAAAAAATGGCAATACCTCAAATATAATCCCATCCAGTGCCATCGCATTACTTGCTTCTTCAACAGATCTCATTTCGACAAAAGCAAACTTCTTTTCATGGTTGATATACACATTAACCACAGAATCACCTACAAATATAAGTGTTGGGATAAATTCCCTTTTTTTTTTGAATGGTAAGGATGCAAATATGAAGTAAAAATATAAACAAACACACAAACATAGATAAAATGCATAAATTTGCAGGAACACTAAAAGTCCAAACTGACCAGGACCAGCAGTATTTCCTCCAATAGCTGCCATTACCCGGCTGAAGAAGGTTGCAATAGTCTGTTCCAAATGACAAAGAACAAACTCAGCACGAGAGGTTCAGAGATTAATATTGCAATTTAGTAAGATTTTGAATTAAATATAATATCAAGATCTAAATGCCTGCAATAACTTAAAAAACACCATAACGTTTTCAGGAATAGTGTGTGCTTTGAAATATTGTGAAAAGATATCCACTGTAGCAGCCATCAAGGTTCAGCTTCCTGAAGAAAATAGAACCTTGAAATATACATCCACAAGAGAAGGCCAGTAAATTTGATTTAGAGATGAGCACAGCCATACATGATGCAGTCATGGGGTCTGGAGTCTACACCTACAGACCAAGAACTATGTGGCTCTATTTCAACATATTTAGAGATTCCAGAGGTTGTGACAGCTTCTAATTCTTGGGTCATTTCAAAGGTATGTTAAGCTAAAGTTTAGATAGAGTGGCTTGTGTACTCACCATTTTGTATCCTGCAAGTTGCTTTTTTTTTATTGTATTCTGCAAGTTCTCTTAGTTGAGTTTAAGATGCCCAGTTTGACTTCTATCTTGTGTGATGTAGGCTCTATTTGCAGTGCAAATGCATGGTAGTGCAATTTCTGGTAATCATAATTTTCTCTCAACTCATTTGCACTTTCCTACCAGTGCAAGTAAAATTGCACTGCAAACAAACTAGGCCTTAGTTATAAGGTGTAGATTTTATTTTGTTCAATGTAGTTAAAACATCACCTAGGCATTGACTAGATGACTGACCATGCATTTTGGAGGCCCATCATCTAGGAAACCAACTAGACAAGTAGTAAAGATATGAACAATTAAGCAGGAAGTAATTTTCCCCCATTTTATATATTTATACTAGTGTAGAATCCATTTTTTGATAGGGCTTTTAATCTCTCTCTGTTACTTTGGAGGATACTCAAAAATCTTATTGTTCTGAGGATCAGTTGTACTATAGTTAACATTTTATCATTTAGGATTTAATTTGTAGTTTTAATTTTATAATAAATCGATTACATTATAATGGCAAATATGATAATAACTATTAATATACATTATATAAATACATATATTTGCTGCAGAGATGTCAACTCACCTTGCCAAGCCAAAAACCCCAGACGGTGCCCAGCTGCCTCAACTAAACAGTCTAAACTATTTAATTCAAGTATTTTTTAAGGGTGTTTTGCCACATCAGCACCACATAGGCTATTAGACTTCACTAGACCATAATCCTGTTTGGTTGGGCTCATCAGGTACAAATGTTCTATACTGCCTTTTGTCTCAGGTTATGTGGAAGTCACTTTTAGAGGAAACACCATTCAGGCATTTCCTGCTCAAGGGGATGTTGTCTAAGGCGTCTTCTCCTATGTAGTGCCTAGAGACACTCTCTTGCAATCAACAGCAATAAACAAACCTTACCATAGGATAGGCCGCTTTTTTAATACTTCGAAATAGAGCTTCCTGGGCATGGTCATCCATCCCTCTTTCTTCAAAAGAAGGTGCACAAATTCTCATGATAGATGGACGATGGATATGAATGGGGTACTAACAAATGTGTATGGCCCCAATGACTATAGGCAGAGGGAGAAATTATGGGAAGAATTGAGTGACATTAGAGGCCTTTGGGATGGACCTTGGTGTGTGGGAGGGGATTTTAATGTGGTGAGATTTACGGAGAAAACCAACAACCCAGACAGAGAGTGACAACAAGTATGAGGAAGTTCAACCAATTTGTAGACTCTTTTGAACTCAAAGAACTTCCTTTCCTAAATAATAACTTCACTTGGTCCAACCTTCAATCAAGGCCAATTTGCACTAAGTTGGACAGATTTTTGTTCTCAACAGATTGGGAGGAAAACTGGGGCAATAATACTTCTAGGGCTCTCCCTAGACTTACTTCAGACCATTGGCCTATAGTGTTGGTCAAGGAGGAAATAAGAGGAGTTGGGCCTACCCCTTTCAAGTTTGAAAACATGTGGTTGACTCATCCGGATTTCATTGAGAAGATTAGAGAGTGGTGAGAGCAAGCTAATCCGGTAGTTGATTGGAAGGGAATGAGATTCCACAAGAAACTCCATTACTTAAAATCACAATTAAAGGAGTGGAATAGGCTGGAGTTTGGAAGATTAGAAGAGAGAAAACAAGTTCTGGTGGAGCAAATCGAGGATTTGGACCTGAAGGAAGAGAGAGGCTCCTTTGGAGAGGAAGAAAGGAAGTTGAGATGGGTTTTGAGGAGGCAGATGGAGGACATCTTGGTTAAGGAGGAAATCAGTTGGAGGCAAAAATCCAGGTGTAAGTGGCTAAAAGAGGGAGACAGAAACACAAGGTTTTTCCATTCAATGGCAAATGGGAGGAGAAAGAAGAATTTCATCTCTAATTTGGAAGTTGATGGAGCAGTGTTGTCTCACCTGGCAGAAATTGCAGAGGCTCTAGTAAACCATTTCAAATCTATTTTTAGAAGGCCTATAAATGGGAGAGTGTGGTTGGAAGGTTTGGATAGGCCGACTCTAAGTGCAGAGAATAGAGAGTGGTTAGAAAAAATGTTTGATATGGAGGAGGTAAAGGAAGCAGTATTCTCTATAGATAGGACAAAAGCTCCGGGTCCAGATGGGTTCACAATGGCCTTTTACCAAGATTGTTGGGATATTTTGGAGAATGATCTTAGATCAGTTTTTGAGGAGTTCCACAGGAGGGGTGTAATAAACTCGGGCTTGAACTCAACTTTCATTGCCTTAGTCCCAAAGAAGAAAGATGCTTCTCAACCAAAGGATTTTAGACCTATTAGTCTGGTGACTAGCTTGTACAAAATCATTGCAAAGGTGCTGTCTCTCAGGATAAAGAAGGTGCTCCCCTCTATTATTGCACCCAACCAAGGTGCTTTTGTGGAGGGAAGACAAATCACCGATCAGATTCTCATTGCAAATGAGGGCT